TTCACAACAACCCCAGTACCCACATTCCAACTTCCTTCTTTCCCGGATTCCTTACTGGTCCCTCCCTTACTTCCAGCTGTGCTTTTTTTTTAATAAGAATGAGGTAACAAAGATTCTTAATAATATTAAATAATAAAGTAATTATTATTAACAAATTATCAAAAAACCTCAGCAAAGTAAAAATTTCAGTAATAACTTTGAAAATAATAAGGAAACTGATAAATTACCTGCATCAATCAATATTACTGCAAATACTTTTCAAGCTAATTACGTACTCAATAATGAATGAGTTAATGATAATCAGATAAGAAAGTTTCCTGCGACTAAGTTAACTTGAAAATCTAATTTATCATTAACAAATCACAAATTTTAGAAAGTTGAAAATAACATCTCAAAAATATTTAAACAAACAACCCAAACTGGCATTATTGGATCTATTCAAGATAATGATCATATAAGAGATCTTCCTAACCAATTAATAAATATTAAAAAACAAAATTATTGATTGGTTTATTGTTAATAGAAAGACGATTTTAATGTAAGTGATAATGATTTACCAGGATGGTCAGAATGTGAAGATTGCTATAGAAATAAAAAGGAATTTTGTAAATTATGTAGCTGTTCTGTATGCAAATGGAAAAGCGACAAAGATCACATTCTCTTGTGTGATGGTTCTTGTAGTAAAAATTTCTATACCAGATGTCTAAAACCTCCACTCACAAGAATACTAGCTAGAAACTAGTACTGTAAAGAATGTGAAAGTTTGAATTCAAAGAAATTAAAATATAAAATGAAACATAAATATTCAAGTTCAGATGAAAATAATAATCAAAGTACAAAAAAAAACAAAAAATTGAAATCAAAAAGTGACAAAAAATATAAAACACGAAAAGATACATTAGATTCTAATAATGAAGACAATCAAAATATAAGGAACTTTTTAAAGCAAAAGACAATAAATTATAGTAAAAAGCATAAAACTTTTTCAGATCCTTTGGGTAATATCTTTATATCAAGTTTTGACTAATTTCACAAATAATAATTTTTGTTTAAGAAAATTATATAAAAATTATAGAAAAATCAACATCATATAACAATAGCGCTATTAATGACTCAATTGAAAACCGAGTGAAAAGCACTAATTTTCCAACTATTGTAGAAAATAAACAAACCAATGAAGGTGAACAAACCGATAAAGATGAACAAAATGATAAAAGTGAACAAAATGATAAAAGTAAACAAAATGATGAAGATGAGCAAAATGATGAAGATAAACAAAAGGATGAAAAAAGTGATGAAGGAGGACAACTTAGAAAGCACAACATTCTAGTAGAACAACTTGGTAATATTAAATCAGTCAAAAATACTATATCATTATTATTTGGGATTTTTGCTAAAAAATCACCCTTCAAGCTATTAAAAAATCCTAGCAAAGATCTCATTAAGAAACAAATTTAAACCTTATTATTATTGTATATAAAGAAGCTACGTCTTATTAAGAAGATATTAGTAGTTCTGATGCAATTGAAAAAGAACAAGAAAATGAGACTCAAAGGTTAGGTTTTAGATTTCAGATAAATTTTTGTATTAAAATTAATATAAATAATATTAGTAATTATAATGTCTCTAAACTATTTCATATTGGCTAGGAGATTTCTAAATTTCCTTCTGACTTGACAGATAATAGTTTGTCTAGTATTAAAGAAATCATGGTAAATATTAATAATTAAATAAGTTTATTAATGACTATATAATAATATAATAATATTTTTGTAACCAAGAACAAAGTTAATATTGTGCCATCAAGTGTTTCGAAAAGCCAACAAATAAGAAATGTTAGTAATTTACTGCATATTTTTCTTTTTTTATATGTGTTGAATTCTTTTTTAATTTAAAAAGTGATACCAACCTCTTCAATTATTAATTAGATAAAGTTTCAATTATTATTAAATACATAACCTTTAATGAATATAACTATTTAAATAATGATTACTATTAAAGAGCGCAGATACAAATCAAGATATTCTGCCAACTTTTATAAATGAAGAAGTAAAAATTATTTAAATAATATAGTAAATTTCTAACATAATTTATTAATACTGTAATTATTATTAATTAAAGAATGCACAGAAAATTTTTAAATATCTTCAAATAATCTTTTTTCTAGAAAAAAAGAAAAAAGGATACAAAAGGAAAAACAAATTCTTGAAGATAGTCAAATTGAGCAGGTAAACTAAATATAGACTATTATTTGAATTTTATGAACTTAGTTTAATTTATTTTTATAAAGTATAATACAATTCTGATTGGTGATAGTTCAGTAAAGTTTAATATTATGAAAAATTGCAATGTTTATATTTAAATTATTATTTTTCTTATTTATTAAAAGAATGAAATAGATGATTCTCAAGTAATCTTATTGGATATTAATATTATTCAGGTAATAACTTTTTATGTGAATTATTAATTTTTATAAAGATATTATCAAATTAAAAAAAATCAACTATACAGACTAATAGTTCTAACAATAATTAGGAAACAGATTCTCAAAGTTTACTTTTAAATATAGAGCCTTCACAAGTAAGGGATTCAAAAAATTCTGAAATAAAATAAATATATTTTATTACTAAATAAATAAATATATATAACAGAATAAAACCAAGAAATATTTAGATATTCAAATCGAAGGCAACCCAAAACCAATAATGATTAATAATAAACCAACAGACAAATTTTCAAAAAAATCTAAAAGAAATTTGAGGATTTTTTCTTTTTTACAATTAATAATGTTAATAGTTATTTTGAAGAAGAGGTTGATATAAGATATCAAATTAGAAATATCTGCAAAAAAATTTCTGATAATGAAACTAATTATAATAATTCAAGGGTTCAATATATTTATTTACTTTGTAAATTAGTACAAATTTCATATGAATTAACAAAAAAGGTAAAAGAACTAAAGAAAGATAATGAAATTGATGATAGAGTTGATGTATACTCTTTATCTGCTTGAATTGATATAATAAAAATATTTCTTGCAT